ATTGCTGATGAAGAAATTAGCGCCTGTTCTTTGAACAAGATTTATCTTCTCAGGCTTGTTCTATTCACCAACCAATAGGTAGTAAGCCCATTCAGCTCATCGCCTAATGTCTTTTGACAACGACCTTGAAATAAATTGCCATGTGGACGTGTAAAAATGGTATCTGGCTTCAATTTTTCATTATCTCTAGTAGCAGAAACGTGAACTCTACGCAGGCGGAAATAATAGTGTAAATGAAAAGAATTGAGATTGAAGAAGAGGGAATTAACTTTATTATGTTTAGAATTTATGAGGTAGTCAACTACGAATACATCTATTGTTTATTGAAACATAAACCTGGTACATCATGAACACCAAGAGATGCACCGTCCAAAATAACAATAATAACAAGACACATAAAATGGAATAAGGAATAGAAAAAAAATAGAAGTTAGTCATTTAAGAACCCGTCTTGTAGATGCCTTCTAAAAAGTACTCACTACTAGTTTCTTACTTTTCAGTAATGGGAAAACAATAAAATTACAGCATTATCACGATTGGTTTCGATCCTGAGCTACTTCCGCTATCTTGTCTAGCTACTGAGTTGCATTATCTATCGGACCCTGCTCAGGGGGTCGTAGGGCACTTACATATGCTAACCCAACACATTAGTCAACATCCCATGGTGCCATTTTACTTATTAGTCACTTGTTGAGTTCGGATCAGTCTAAATACAAATGAATTGTGAATAGTATGAAAGTCACTGGAATCACATACACAAGTCTGAGACACTGAAGAAAGTATTTCAAGATGACCATGCTGGATGAATGGTGATCTACACCGCATCCAATTACATATCACCTCACCTAAGAATTACTTACACAGTGTCTCCACTGCATGCGGTTGATGTTGTGGAGCCAACGATGATCAAATAGGCAGAGTCGTCCACCATCCTCAGCTGTAAGAGACCAGCTTTTACAGGGGTAGATCAAAACTGCCCACACCGACGCTTTGTATATGAACCTTCCACAGTATATTCCACATTACAGTGCTAAAGGGGGTCCAGATTTACTACGTCACTCTGGCTTTTGATATACGGTAGTCACGCATCTACCACCAACCGTACAACTACTTCCTTCCCAGCTGTCGCAGGAACGTCATCTATGTTAAATTCAGAGAAGAATGATGGGATTGGGCGGCCTAACCTAAACTGAACATTACTTAAGAACACTGGAGACAGATGGTTGTAAGCTCTCACTCAACATAAAGTGACGAGGTATACAACTCTCGAGACGTCAGAAAACCGCTAATGGACAACGTTCGTTAGGAGGTAATTCCAGAATACAGCCCTGTTCAATAAATCATAAGCAGCCTAAATATTGGGAAACGCAACCATTATTGGTCTCCGATTTATGCAAGTATCTAGTGAAGTGTGAAAAGACTGTTAGTTCATCCATGACCTGAACGAAACCCACCCCCGTAGTTGCTGATAAGGTTCTCACGTGGTTACATTTAAAAGTTTGAACAATCGCAATCATACTTAATCCATTTCACGCAAAAGTCTTGACCACTGGTTCATGATAAGTCAAGGATACTTAGCAGATACCCTAATACTTTCTAATCGATTTAAATAATGTGCTATTACAAGGACTGCACATAGAATTACTTCAAACTATCTCAATCCCTTTGCCTAACAAAGGTATTACATTCTAGGTACTATTTAGTGATAAAGCACTAACCAAACATAAAACTACTCTTCGATAAGGCAAAGATAAACCAAATCACCTTCACCAGTATGACGAAATTAACTGAGACTGGTAAATTTTCGTAACCCATTACACAACAGCATAGTTGCGGAAGGAAGAGAACATATTTTATCAGAGCTTTCCTTAACTCCATACGACTTCTTGATCATTGAGTCAAGTATTGCCTGCAGGTCACCTCTTGCTGGCAATCGCACTTGCTTTCCAAAACCTGATACGCAGTTACACAATATCGAGCTAGCAGAAAGCCCTTTGTCATAAGTCATCGGAATTCCTTTATTGTGTGTAAATTTACAACAATTCAGTTACACAGTATTACTTTCTGCTCTAATCAAGCCAATTTTGTTGTTACCTTTTGCTTTCTGTTGATTTTTGTCTTCCCTCATTAGTTAATTATTCATCACAAATAATCTGAATTCATTAGTGCCTATGTGTATGTCTTTCGTTATGTATGACGCTGGACATCTAACCCTAGGGTAATTTTGACAAATTAATCTTATTGTCTGTAATCCACTGAAGGTGAGAATAGTCTGATTCTCTTTTTTTCTCTCTGCATTTCATGAAAATGAATTTGCCTTCTAATGATGATTTTGTAATGATATCATCAGAAATAACAACAAAATTGCTAAAACTAGGGAGATAAATGGCAAAAAGCCTACTTGGAAATTAGTCAGAAACCACTTTGCGAATAGATCCAGCTCAAAGTGGAATTATTAACTGAAGATTTGTGGCAAGTATAAGAATACTTTCAATGACTGAGAGATATGGGTCATTTTGACAACTTCCAACAAAATTCGACACCTGCGAAGTTATAAAGTTGTGTCAAGATGATGAATACAAAAGTATTTAAACACACAGGTTGGGTTTGATGTTTAAATTTGTTACAATTCAAGCCGTCTTTATGGATATTACTCTTATCTTATAGTTGTTCCATGGACGTTAGACGCATATACGCTTGAAGAACTAACCATCTTTGTAAGATGTTAACATTAACTGAACAAGTGGTGAATAATCTGTAAATCTACAATTTTTTTATTTAGTATTCTGCTACATACAGATCTCCGCTCTGGATACGGGGGCTTTGAAAAACGCAGCCATTTGAGCTCAATTACTCTGGAAACAAGTTTTTTAAAGTCAAGTTCAAATGAATGAGGCGGCTATCGGCTATTAACATGCCGTTCTTACCTACCAGAGAAACAGGCATACTAGCTCATGTGGTTTCTGACTACTTATATTGTTTGACAGTTAATTTCAAAGCCTTTTCAATTTTCATTCACTTCTTCTTACCAAAAGGCTGGAACGTAAACGTTATAGTCTAACTTTATCACCTATCATGGTTGACTTATTTTTGGGTAGAAGGATCATAGTGAAACTCACTGTTAGCTTTACTTTCAGCGAACAATATAGGATCTTTTTCCCACAGAAACAGTCTACTCGAAATATCAACACTTTTACCTTTCATCAAAAGACACATCACTGGGTTGACAAAGTAGCAACCTGATTATCTTAGTACTACACTACTAAATGTGCGCCAATCAAAGGCTTGAAAAATTACGTTGCTAATATGCCATTAGCCTTTGACTAGTGCGGACATTTGTCACGTTTTACCTAGATACTATAATTTGGACGTTTGAAAATGAGATATCTGTGTTAACTACGGTTTTTCGATGCACATCCTGTGAGTAATTTCTCGTGAAACGGGTGTTGGAGTAGTTTTCAGTAACCAGAGAAGTGATTGACTACCTGATGTGAAAAAATGCACATCCACTGAAAATACATTACAGTAGACATTAAGACTCCAACAACTCATTATCAAGGTCGAACTCCAAGACATCTGATCTAGAAACGGTTATGTACTCCAGGTTTTCATTGATACCACGAGTGATGTCAGTTCATGATAAATAGTATCTTCAAATCAATGAATCCTCATAAACATTCAAACTGGAGTATATTTCTACCTCCATTTTCCCCGGCGTTCATTAAAGAAGTACTCTGAGATGAGATTCCTGAAGTTCTAATAAGTAGTTGTAAACGGTAGGGAAAGCCGAATCGTGAGTGATAACAGCTATTCAGCTACGTCATTAGATGAAGGTCGCGCTGTATCCTGTACTGACAGAAGTAAGAAATATGGACCACTGCATGTTGACCCACTGGCTCATTGGAAATGTGCTGGTAGTGAAAGGTGTATATCCTGGGTTTGATCCTTGGCTGAATGGGGTAGCGTGTGGTGACCACTGAGGAGTCCCAAACTAGGACGAAGCTGCTGTCAAATAGTGTAAGGTTTCCAATGATTTTCCAGCTGATGTCAATCCATGGCGGATGTCAACTCTGAAATCACTGAATAAGTCCCCACAAACCATAAACTTAGTAATTGAAAGGCAGTGACCGATATCATATCAGACATGACCGTCTTTACAAACACGCATCAGTCCCATAACTGGTCGAATTTAAGTAGTCACTGGTGCTCTAGTATTTAACGACATGTAGTTATTGCATGACAAGCAAAATTCTTAGGCCTTAAAGTAAGGGTGCAAACAGTTGATTCACTAACTGACGGTGTGGCTTCAGTCAGATAAAGTCAACCTCCTAATCCTTTTGAGTGCGGCCACTCGTGAATGATAGGCATACAAATAACTGTCTCCAGTTTAAACTTTATGTTGTGACTGACTTTGGTCGGCCAGCGATTCACACAAGATATACAGTGCTTCGGACTGAATGAATTATTATCATGGATATCAGTGATATATATCATTTTTCAGTGCAAAAGATTTAAAAAACACAAATGAATGTACTGATCGATATTTCTTCCGTAATGACGAAAACTTTCCTCACCAGACAGGTCAGCCAAATCAAACAAAGTATTTGAAGTACCCGGTCATCGTAAGCTATTTCAACCGACTACAGAAGTCTAAAATTAGAAACTAATGACTAGATGGAAATCGACGGTGATCTCTGGATATTACTGGTCCACACTCATCAGTACGATTCAAATATATGCCTGCGAAACCATCTGCTGACCTCACTATAGATCAAAATTCTGCACAATTGTTAGTTATGAGCTAAATATTTGCAAACATAGAATTAGATAACTTGTGCTTCACTTGAACTAACGGAAATGATGTCTGATGACACTGTTCCACCGACGGAACCAAATAGTTCAACTACTCCTGAACCCTAATTTGCACAACTTACTTTTCAGCAACAAATTTATGTACATGAAGAGCATTACCGATAATAGCAAAAATGATATAGACTTACTCAGAAGTTACTGAGGCAGCATTTTTCAGACATAACGTGAAATAGACATCACATTCTCTTCCTCCAACACGATCACAAACTTGTCCATTCTCCAGTTGAGATTCAGGATTGTTGTAATCCCATTCAATTTTTAACAGGGCTCCTCCATAAGACTAAAATCCACAGAAAAACAAGGTAAAGTGTTGGAAATCAGTGCACTGAAGAAAATCGGAATCCCACAGACAGCTTGAAGGAATCAGTTTTTATGAATATAAGTGTGCAGAGTTTTATCCCAAAATGACAGTCATGCATTGGTTGCATTTCACAAAGCATTCGCTGAACCTTCCTCATTGAAACACATCTCAAAAAGTGGTTTTCACTCTACAAAGAACCTAGAGACTAGTCTTCAGTTACTATTAATCGGAAGTATTTAGTTCTTTGAACCATGAGACATTGAGTGTATATACTCTAAGTAGCCTATAACCTGTAACAACTACCGGACTTCATCCATCCATTTCAAATTTATGTTTTCCAGCCCCTATAGATGTAACCTTCTTTTGAATGAATGGAAGATATCAAGTATCGTAGTACGAGATTTTGTTCAAGCATACTTCTAGAACGATTTCAATCTATAAGTAATAATAACAACTATGCAGTGGAATTTAGTAAAAGGTTTAGTTTCTCCTTGAAAACGAAAACTAAACTAAACTTAGATCAGTCTGTCATGATAAAGGAACCAAACATCTAAAATTTACTGACTAACCAAAGTCCATATTATTTCATAAAGCCATCTTTAAGTTCCCAATAGTATCAAGGCATATCTGTTATCTTTTATGCAGACGAATACTTACAATGATTGAAAATAAAAAAATGGTTGTTTGGATACCTAATCTACTGAAATCCCAAAAGAAAAGCAGTTCTGATACTTAGAAGAGGAATAGCAGAATTTTTTTCATTCATTTAATATGTTCCACCTTCTAGAAGCCAAAAACGCGACGCTACTACGAAGTGTTTTCAATCACCAAAAAAATTTGAACGTTTATCATTATAAGTTGGACAGTTCTAGTAAAATCCTACTAATAAGAACATATAATATTGTCAGTAGGCTGGAAACTCCTTAACTGTACTGTATCCTTTTTGAGTTGAAAAGAGATTCAAGCTACTTGTTGGTTGGTGTTTGCCGCGTCAGTTTCTTACCAACAATTCCTAATCGGTGCGAACATTTCAGTTTTCTTCTGTCTTAGAAAGTCGAATTCTATAAGTCCTTCCCTCTTTTTTAAATTCTAAGTATCATGTCAGAATCAATGCAAGATATAATTCAAAATTGTTAGACCTTGTGTTGAGCACTTTGGTCAAGAACAATACATCAGCGATCATTACTTTAAAAACAGTTTTCTCATTGTTGATTTATTCATGTGCTTGATTAACTGTCCTAGTATATTAACGTGAAGTATTTTTAACTTTGACAATTCACCGATTTTTGAATAAATTTTAAGGATATTTTCGCATGGAGGGGTGGGTTTTAGCTTCAGTGAATAACTGAATGCATTTTTAGTCTTCTAAACAGCTGTAAGCTCTTCAGTCTTGCATGCCGTGCCATTCTATCTAGTAAAATTTAGTAGGTAATGTGTCCCTGAGTCTTTAACACATCAATTCCTCAACCATGAATATTGTTGGTAGACACGTTAACTTGAAATCTAGTGAAATATGAATTCATATTTCTTTTGTATAAACGTTTGTATTATTTGACAGCAGAATAATTAAAATTTCTATTCATGGACTGAGAACTGGTTTTCCACTTGAAAGATATAATAAAGTTATGAATCTTGAATAATGACAAGTGATTTCTTTTGTCCTGTCAAGTGGATCCATGAAACAATGGATAATCTGTATTCAAATTGACAATTAGTTTGACGGCTGCTAACTAAATCACATACTATATCTCCTCAAATACCTCGACCGAGCAGTGAGCTGTGGGGATTGCTCGACTACCTTATCGTTTTACCACAAGGCTTTGATGATAGCATTATTCCCAAGCAACTTAAGTACATTCAAAAGAAAGACAGTGGTCAGTAGCAGTTGAACCGAAACCAAAACAACTGTAATTTCTGCTGAAAAAGTTTTATTTTATTCAAGATATCTCTGAATAGCTTACTAGATAAGTCTTTTACTTCAACACCGAGCGATGAACTTCCGAAGCAGTATTAAAATACAGCCTTCTTTTATGGCTACGGACACTCCTTTCTGATGAGTGTCAACAAGTTTGAAACACGTATTAAGCATAACTTCCTGTCAACTGACTCACACTGCCTAATATCTCCAGTGTGTTTCAACTTTGATCTCGGAAAACCTATTGTAATGCATTAACATGTAGTTACATAAACTGAAGTAAATTTATTGATTTCAATAACTTGATTTCAAAATTATCTAGATCACAGAGCCTCCAAACTTAAGTGATATCAAATCTCTCACACAGTTTATTTATAAGCTCGCTTACTCACTATCACCATGAGTTTGTTTGAGAGACAACTGAAACCTGATAGGTCTATTTTTTGAATCAGAGACACTAAATGAGAGCTCATTTTTGAAGCTTTAATAACTATCCATCTTACAATTTTCCATTAATACAGTGACTTATCAATAAACTAAGTAGTAGAAATGATGTGAAGCACCCGGAGTACTTTGAAATCAATAACACTCAAGTAAGCTCAATTGTACAATATTTAATCCAAGAAGTGCACTTCGTGTATGATACACATAAAGGTTGCATTCTTATAAATAGGGAATATTTTCTGTAGTTCCCTGATTTTGCTTTCGATATTGTGTAACGAGATGTTATTATTTTATTTACATCAATCGCTGTTCCACTGTAGAAAAGGTGGACTTTCTTCAGTTTACAGAACGATCCCACTAAAGAAAGACATGCAGACAAATCAAAATAGAACCTTGTACAAAAGTACATCAGTTTATTTCGTTACATTTCACAGTGGTATGCAAGTGGATAGAAAGCAGTTTGTCTTGAGTACTGACAAAGATTGGAGGGCAGTTGACACTTCCTGCCTTCCCACACAGCAAGAAATTACTTTTTGAAGTACCTGACATAGAAACTGGGTTGGTAACAACAAGGAATGACCACAGAGCTCAAGGTAGGTCAACTTATAACTGGTAACTCACGACCTTTTAGAAAGCTTGTGGTTTACCTTTGATCGTTGTGAATTAAGCTACAAGACCCATTCTACTGGCACTTTCAAATCTTAGGCCAAGGGGGAATGGGTTCCTTTTACTACTGGCCTCTCATTAAATGCCCCATCCCACAGTGTCAGCATGAACTGCTGGTCATTCTCGGGAAAAGTCTTACTACTGTCACACCATCCAGCTAGCAGTACGACTGCACCTTCGGACCCCGATCATAACTGTCATGATAACTGCCTTCTATTTTACTGCTAACTAACAGACCTTTCTTATAAGCTACGACCTCAAGAGAACAAGTGTTTTCACCAACATAAGTCATCGGATCACTGTGATACTCAATTACAACCACCAAGTAAGGGAAAGAGCAATGGGAAAGAAGTTGGAACATTATATTTGACAAACGCGCGCAATACTGAGGGGAGAAATAAATGAAATCTAGAGGAAACATTTCAGATATTTAAGACAAAAACGGAGGTGTTCGCTTGAGCCATTGTAATTGTTTTGTAGCTGTAACTCTAAAATTTCCAAAAGTTTAATTTTTATTAACTAGAAGATAGCAGATAGGAAGCCTAGACCTACATACAGAGCATAGACTTATAGCTTCCGGCAGAACAGTCTAACTACAACTAACATTGCCTGCTGATATACGAAGTAGTTAGGCATAAGCAAAATATAATAATGATGGACAGTGTCTGATAGTGAAATCCGAAACGCCCATTTTGTTCTGTTTGGGACTTGTAAAATGGATGTACCTCTCTCCTAGTGAGTGATGTTGTACCCACGAGGACTCGCTCTCGAAACCGTGGGCTTTATCTACTAGGCCACCTGTTTCTAAAAGATGAAAATACTGGCAATGTCGAGACATCTGCACTGGAGCCTGTATACAAATGGAGGTCAAATAGTTAGGTTCAACCAACGACGGGATAATAATGGTAACATCATATAACTACAATATACATAAAGTTTCTGGGTCACTACAGGCTAAAAACCTCATTGATATATCCATGATAGTGAACAAACATCAAAAACTGAATATGACGACTACTATTGATTGCCTTCCGTTGTCGAAGAATAAACAATGCATTAAAGCGATGAGAAACGTGGGCAATGAAACTTCAGTAACATTACTGACACATGAAACTGGTAAATGTGTCTTACGAACCAACAACATTTAATTTCATTACATTTGAGTAATGCAAAAGTTTCCATCATTATTCAGAAAATGAAGCGATGAGAAGTCAAGTACTATCTTATTTTTCCATGAATTCCATCTCTCTTATTTCATATGCTTTAATACCTAGGCTGATACTATCTACTGGAAATGTATAATCTGCAAAAGCGTTTACTCTCCTGATGATATCTGATATCCCATGAAGTTCACTTTTCCCCAGCATTTTAAGACTAAAATTCAACTATCCTCTCCAATTGCTGTTATAAAGCTACTTCTGTCTTTACGATCAATATTGTTGAGAGTTACAACCAGTATGATCATTATTGTTATTGTCGATGCTACATGTTATACCAGTTTATATTTTAAATTTAGATCACTTCTCAAATGAATATCGTATAATGTGCTTAACCTAGAGTTATTTTTCTCATACTGTTATCAACATATGCCTCCTTGGATAATTATACTTTTAATAACGAAGTATAAGTGCTCAATCTTACCAAATCTGTGAGTTGTGTTGTGGATATCATAAGCTTGATGTAACTTATCTTTTGAAGTACATCATACACCCTGTTTGGTATGTATACTACAATTCACTGATGCATCACATTTGTACAGAATATTCTGTGAAATTCTGAAGAGAATCTAAGTAATTATTGTCTGACTTTTTAAGTGTTGTAACTGGAATTCTCAGCATGAAACGATGTGAAATAAAGTACCACTGTAAACCAGCATGCACTAGGTGCTTATTTCAATTTGTTTCATTGAGTAAAATTTTGATAACAATCGACTTTTAAAAGCCCTTCATATAAA